GGAGAAATGCATGTTCTGATAAAAAAAATCTTTCATTTAATTTCAAACCTTTATTTATGCAGGTGAATCCCATTGAGATCATTGATCTCTTTTTCAAGGGTGACCTGCTGCAAGTAGGTTCCACATGAATACATATAAACATAACAGAAAAACAAAAAAGGACATCATACAGCATATTTACAGTGACTACAGTTTACATAGCTAGTAACATTTACAGGTTCCAACAGTTTCCGATTGGATAATATCTATCCTTGCTTTAAAAACATTTAGTGGAACCAAATTGCTCAGACTGTTCCAAGTTAGCGGAGCTGCGCATCTAAATGCTATCTTCCCTAAGACAGTCCTAGCAGTTGGCACATTTAATAAAACCACAGCATTCGATCTCAGGCAGTAGCCACTTACAATTCGCCGTGAGATCAGGGAGCAGATGTAGGATGGAAGTTTCCCTAACATGGCTTTGTATATAAACATGTACCAGTGACTGAGCCTCCGTACAGTTAGTGAAGGCAAACCTGCCCTTGCATACAGGGTACGGTGATGGGTTAATACTTTACAGTTTGTCACAAATCTCAGTGCACTGTGATAGGCGGCATCTAACTTGATCAGGTAATGGGCAGGTGCATTCATAAAGATCAGATCACCATAGTCCAGTACAGGTAAAAAGGTCACAGAGCCTTTTTCTGGCCTATGTAACCATAACCAAACTGTAAATATATCCCAAAATTGATGTTGATATACATGTTGGCTAATGAATATGGTAACACTTGATCTAGTTTTGGCCAATGAAAGATATTCTACTGAAGTATTTTTAAATTATGAGTAAGGATGATTCATGGTTGAATAAATAAATAAACAGTTGTAATGTTATTGTTTGCAACTCATTTTGTAATAACCACAGCAATATGTAATAATATATTTCAAAATGTGGCGACATGTATTACATATTTGCATTGAACTTGTTTACTACATAATGGGCAAATTATTACAAAAGGAGGTGTTATTACATAATGAAGGGAAAATGTATTACATTTTGTATAGGTATAGTTAATAAATGATGCATTGTTATTTCATACAGGGCCAAAAAGAGCAGTCTGTTATCCTATTTAACAATCTTGTTTTTTGTTTCACCTGGTGACAACTTTAAACATGAGCTGATCACTCATTAAAACAAGGTCCGGAACAGGGCCAAAAAAACAGTCTTGTACCCTATTTGATCGTCAATCTTGTTTTTTTCGTGCCTTTACTCACAAATTCTTGTGTTAATGGATGTTCTTATATCTGATGTCTTGGTCCCTGGATGGTGGTTTACTACAGCATCTGTGGAACAGAACAATTACAAATAATTAGAAGTTCACAAAAGACAGCAGGAATTATAACAATATCCATAATATCTATATTAAAGCATGGGCTGGCTTGGTGAATAATGTGGGAATACAAATAGTGGAAGAATAGGCTTTGTACATTTTCGTCTGAGTGTGGCGCTACTGGTTGGTATATTTTATGGAATTTGGACCAAGCATCTGCATCTGTAACAGTTCTGTTTAAAACTTTTTTAAATGTAATTGCATTCATCTTTAAAGGTGGGGTAGGTATGTTTGAGAAACCGGCTCGAGATACACTTTTTGTTATATTCCATGGAATGCTCTTAACATCCCGATAGCAATGAATATCTGAAGTGCTTTGACAAAAAATCCATAAAAAAATATCATCTGTGGAAGCCGTAATACTGTAAAAAGCACGACCAATCATCTGAGCCGGCCCGGCTAAAATAACTGGATGGCCTACCTGCCTGTCAGCCTTCCATCTGTGCACAAACTTATCTCGTGCCCTCATTGGTCATGTGCGTATTTTCAAATTCTAGCGCACTCGAGCTGGTTTCTCCAAAATTACCTACCCCACCTTTAAAAGATTACTTTTATTGAATGAGAGTTTTACCTAGCACAATGAGCCTGGGGTGGTGGGAAGGGAGAACTGGGCCTCGGCATTGGCATCGGCAGGAGTGGTAGTCGCCTATGAGTATTAGAATTTAGATTAACAAAGGCATAGAAAAACCCTGAAATATGTACTGACACAAAGCTACAACCCTCGATTTTGTAAGTAGTAGTAGTAAATACATACGTATATACAATATACAACAATACGCATAATGCAATTAGCAGTACCAGTAATAAAATAACTGAATAAATAGTAGTAGAACCTTTATTTAGGCAGGAAAATCAATTAAGAACAAATTCTTATTACAATGATGACCTGACAGGAGGCAAAAGGCGTCCTGAGGGGATGGGGTTTGGGAGGAAAAAAATAAAAAGACAGACTCCGGGCACTACAGAACCCAGGAGACAACACATTGACACAGAGCAGAGATGACAGGCATAGCAGTTAAACATATAACATCTCTAAAACAATATTGCTGTGGTTCAATCTGTCATTAAAATAATATAGAACATTCATCCATTCAATCATTCATTCCTTCATGGCAAGGATAACTAAGCTGAATAGTGAATAAAGTGATATGTGAAAAGTAAAATTACAGTGAAATTAAATGACAGTGCGTTCCTCACCACTGCGATCTGGCTCCTCTGTCCTCGTGTTTTGGGTCTGATTCCTCACTACTGATGTCTGCCTCTCTGCATGGGCCCTCTCTCCTTATTTATTCTGTCTCAGTCACCACTGCTATCTGGCTCCTCTGTCCTCTTGACTTGTGGTTCTGCAGGCTTAGTTCGACCTATGAATTTCAACAATGCTCCTGTAAAATATATAGATATATAGTATTATGGGTCAACATTAAAATAACATACACTGGAGAGCAAAATGTGAAATGCCATTGACTGTAGGCTACATATTATCCACACAATTGTCAGCAGGGGCAATAACAACTAAAATGTGAACTAACTTGAATGCATTAGTCCACAACACATAGCCTAACTAATGTTAGCCTACATAGTTACTAACATCAGAACACATAGTATTGGGGAATCTTATGTGTTTTGTGATGTTTGTGCTGGAGCCGTTTTATTCAAAACAGCACTCCGGTTAGAGAGTTGACACGGAGACAGGAAGTACAGTCTTTGGACTTTATATTAGCTTGGTTCTGATCATCAACACAGAATACATCATGCTTGATGTGGAATCACATACAGGATGTTGAATGGGTTGATGAGTATGATGATAATGATAACGTAGAGTAGAGAATGAATGAATGGTTTCTGCAAAATACACAGAAATAGAAATAAGGTTCAAATTACAATAACTAACCAGACTATGGTTATTAATAATAAGCAACAGCAATACTAATTGTTGCTAAAACACATTAGACACGTTGCAAACACACGGCTAATAAAAGCTAAGTTAGCATCTCATCTGAATAGCTTAACTTAGCTAACTAGCTAGCATTAGCTCAATTCCTGAACAACATAGCAACTAAAAACGGGACATCAAGACTCATTAACACACTGACTCAGCAGGACACTATGCATACAATCTTATAACATTACCAACACTAAAGATCTGCATATATGCTCACATTCTTCACGAACGCATTCTCTCTGTGACGATGGTAATTATGCATGTGACGATGCGCAATAATCTCCTGTCCTGAACGCACATGTGTAACCCATGGATGTAACCAGCTCGAGGACCCATAGCTGCACTACATTAGCTGTCCCTAAATGTGCCTGACTAAAACACGAACGATATAATGCAGATCAAGGAGAACAAGGGGAATTTACAACACATAGACTAACTGTGGTTACATTACTTAACTAGCTCATCATCGTCAACAGTCAGAAAATGTCCGTTAGCCGTGGGGCTAGTTTTCGCTATGTTAAACTCCATTGACTTATGCTAAAATGTTAGCGATCTAAAGGTCCGCTATTTTTGGCTGTTTTGGGTCGACTTCAGTTGACTGTAACATCGAAAATCTTCGAAATTGAATGTTCACAAAGCTGCGGACCGGTTATACACTCATACACGAGGGAACTAACATAGCTAATTTAACTAACGTTAGCTAACGTAGCTGGTGTAGTGCCGAGAGACGGGACATACGGATTAAGCAACTAGACTACTTGTAGTGTACATGCAGAATTATTTCAATTTAAAATAGTTTTAAATGCTCACACACATACCTGACTCTGGTGCTGTATTTTCCTCTCGTTTCTTTTTAATTTTCCGTTTCGAAGCACCTGATGAATGCTTTCTCTTTGATACTCAGCGACAGAATCAACAGACAGAGGCAGCAACGCAGATTTGAATCTGCCAATCAGATCAATCTATTGCTGGAGAGGGGGGGGGGGCTCCCCGAAATCAGTCGGAAGTGGCGCATTCGAATACTGTTTGGCCTGTCTGCCGTGGATGGGCTTCGTTCCACTCCAAATAGCCGGTGGGCCGTAATATATGCATAGATATATATGTGTGCTGCCTATTTCTATGTTTATAGAGTTGGGACATGTTTTTTGGCTCAGAGTGAGCGCTCCTTGGTTTGCGAGGATCTTTGTAAACGGAGCACGGAGATCAACACATGGAGATCAACACATGGAGCAGAGACGTCATGTAAACTGTGTCCGTGTCTGTGATGCTTGAGCCTTGGAGACTATTTGTCTGTGAGTTATTCATGTGCAGAATGTTTGAAGTGTGTAACTTTTGGTCTAAAGCTAGTTTAATGTGTGCTAATTTAGCTAATGGTGATCTGTGCTATTTCTAGCTAATAGTGATGCTAATGATAGCTAATTCCTTTAATAGTAGTATGTGTGTCGTTTGTACAGTGCTACTTATATGTTATGTAAAGTCTGCATACTTATATGTGTTTTATTTCTGTATTGTTACAGTTTTACAAAGTAAAAGAAGAACAGTAAAGTCAAGAAAGAAAACCTTGCATCTTTATTGGAGGACTTTTAAATGTTAGCTAACTGTCTAGCTACGCATAGGGATACGCGCTGTAAGGGCAGAACAGTAAAAAGACAAGAGCACGGCGGGTTCAAGTAATAGTACACTACACAGCCAACATGAGTCTACGCTCAGGGAAAAACTATAATAATGAAGACACCACTACGCACAAAGAAGCAAGTGGAGAACAGCAAGCAGAGACTGTGGATCAAACAGCCAAGTGGCAAGAACATCCTCAAGCCTCTGATGCTAAGTCATATTCATCCAGAGCAGCCTCTAGATCGTCTCAGCGATCATCAGCAACAAGTTCGTCAGCCACGAAAGCCTATGCCAAGGCAAAAGCAGCTCATGCTCAATTAGCTTATGCTGAAAAAGAAGCTGACGTGATGAAACAGAGGGCAGACCTGGAAAAGCAAAAAGCTGACTTTGACGCCAGTCTACATCTGCTCCAGTGCCAAAGAGCTGCAGCTGCAGCTGAAGCTGAAGCTGCAGTTTATGAAGAAGCAGATGCTGAAAGCGTGAAGCTAAGTCGAGAACCCATTGTTGAAGGTGAGCGCTTCAGTGCAGTCCAACGCACTTCCAAGTATGTTCAAGCTCAGTCTCAGTACACCTGTTCCGGAACGCATCATACACAGGTAGCAGTGGAGGCACAGGAAAGAAAAATAAAGACGTTTGAACCACCTCAAGCTAAGTCAGTCTACAAAGACTTAAAAAATGAACCGACATCAAATACTTACCCTCACAGTACTCCGAAGCACGCTGATCAACAGTATGAGTCACAAAGTGCACAAGACTTCGCAAGATACCTCATCAGAAAAGAAATGGTGAGTGCAGGTCTTCTTCAATTCGATGATAAGCCTGAAAATTACTGGTCGTGGAAAGCCTCCTTTATAAGTGCCACTAAGGACTTGAATCTCACAGCCAGAGAAGAGCTAGATTTGATGACTAAGTGGCTAGGGCCCGACTCCATGCAACAAGCAAAGAGAATTCGTGCAGTACACGTACTCAATCCTGCAGCAGGTGTGAACATGATCTGGCAACGTCTTGAAGAGTGTTATGGGGCGCCAGAGGTCATTGAAGACGCACTGCTCAAGAAAATAGAACACTTTCCGAAGCTCACCAACAAAGACAATGCTAAACTGAGAGAACTCGGCGACATTCTCCTCGAACTTGAGTGTGCTAAGGACGAAGGTGCTCTGCCAGGGCTTTCGTACCTGGATACAGCTCGTGGGGTAAGAGAAATAGTGGAAAAGCTTCCCTATAATCTGCAAGAGAGGTGGACCAGCATTGGAAGCAAGTACAAGGAGGATTACAGAGTAGCCTTCCCTCCTTTCTCTGTCTTCGCCAAGTTTGTCCAGCAACAAGCAAAGATTAAGAACGATCCAAGCTTTATTATATCCACACCAAGCAACAAAGCCTCTGTGACTGTACACAAAACAGACATCCCAGAAGAGCCAGCAGACACCCAAAGCAGTCCTACTTTTAAAAAATTGGATGAGCCAGATCGCCAGTGTCCAATTCACAAGAAGCCACACCCACTGAAAAAATGTAAGCTCTTTAGAGAGAAAACTCTTGAAGACCGCAAAGCATATCTCAGAGACAATCGCATCTGTTATAGATGTTGCGGTTCTTTTCAACACATGGCAAAAGATTGCAAACTGACTGTCAAATGCTTCGAGTGCAACAGTGACAGACACATCGCCGCACTGCATCCAGGCCCTCCTCCTTTAAACGCTCAGAGTGCTACGGCTGGGAAAGACAAAAGCGGGGAGCAAAGTGAAAGCTCATCTTCATCAGTGACCTCAAAGTGTACGGAGGTTTGTGGGGAGGGTTATAGCTCACGCTCATGTTCCAAAATTATCTTGGTGAAAGCATATCCTGCAGGGGAAAAGGAGAAGGCAATGAAGATGTATGCAGTGTTGGACGAACAAAGTAACAAGTCACTAGCCAAGACAGAGTTCTTCAACCTCTTTGAAGTTAAAGGTAACTCCACTCCATACACCCTGAACACCTGTTCTGGGAAGTCAGAGACTTCAGGTAGGAGAGCCGTTAATTTTGTCATTGAGTCTGTGGAGGGGAAAGTACAGCTTCCCTTACCACCCTTAATTGAGTGTGACATGGTGCCAGATGAAAGAGCAGAAATTCCCTCTCCAGAGATTGCACTACATCACCTACACCTACAGCCAGTTGCTAACAAGATTCATCCAGTAGATCAAAACGCTCCTATCCTTCTGCTCTTAGGGAGAGACATCCTAAGGGTGCACAAAGTACGTGAGCAAATCAATGGACCGCACAATGCACCTTACGCACAACGGCTAGACCTAGGCTGGGTCATTGTGGGAGAAGTATGCTTGGGGATAGCTCACAAACCATCAGAGGTCAATGTCTACAAGACCAACATACTGCACAACGGTTGCACATCTTATCTCAGTCCATGTCCAAACAGTATTCATGTTAAAGAAGACTTCAGTGGCATGACACAGCATCCTAGTCTCACCTTCCCTGCATGTAAGCAGAACACAGATTGCACTGCGATTACAGACAATCTCGGGTGTTCGGTGTTCGTCAGGTCCAAAGATGACAACGAGATGCGTCCTGAAGTGTCTACACTGGCAACCAAGGTCTCAGAGTTCATGTTGAGCTCTCAACACTTTGAGCGATGCTCAAGCTGGCAAAAGCTCTGTCAGATCATAGCCAGACTCATTCATGTTGCCGCTTCCTTCAAAAGCAAGGCTGACGAAGCAAGAAAGAAAGGATGGGAATGTTTCGGAGAAACAATCAGCATAAGTGAACTCTCACAAGCCAAGGTTTTGATCATCCGCTCTGTCCAGCACAAGGCCTTCAAAGAGGAATTCAAATGTCTTGAAGACGGACAGACTTGGTCCAAGCAAAACACACTTGAGAAGCTCAATCCATTTGTGGATAAAGATGGTCTTCTTCGTGTTGGAGGTCGTCTTTCATCGGCTGAGCTGTCAGAAGAAGAAAAACACCCTCTGATCATTCCACGCAATCATCACATCGCCACACTGCTTGTCAGATACTTCCATGAAAAAGTAGCTCACCAAGGGCGACACTTTACAGAAGGAGCTATTCGAGCAGCTGGATACTGGATAGTTGGGAGTAAACATCTGGTATCTTCTGTCATCCACAAGTGTGTTACCTGCCGCAAATTGCGAGGAAGGTTGGAAGATCAGAAGATGGCGGATCTGCCAGCTGACAGACTAACACCCGAATCTCCGTTCACCAATGTTGGACTGGATGTTTTTGGGCCGTGGTTGGTCATGACACGACGCACAAGAGGAGGGGCTGCAGACAGCAAACGCTGGGCTTTGCTCTTCACATGCATGTCTACCAGAGCGGTGCATATTGAACTGATTGAATCCATGTCAACAGACAGTTTTATCAATGCCTTAAGAAGATTTTTCTCTGTTCGTGGTCCAGCAAAGCTCCTGCGCTCTGACAGAGGGACTAACTTCGTCGGGGCTTCAAAAGAGTTAAGGATTAACACAGACGACACATTAATCAGGAAGTACCTCCAGGAGAAAGGATGCTCTTGGGTTTTCAACCCCCCTCATGCCTCCCACATGGGTGGTTCCTGGGAGCGGCTCATCGGAGTAGCCAGGCGCATTCTGGATGCAATGTTGCTTCAGACGGGACCAGTACGTCTTACACATGAGGTTTTGAGCACTTTCATGGCAGAGGTGATGGCGATCATCAACGCAAGACCCCTTGTGTCTGTGTCTACTGACCCAGATATGCCTGCAGTTCTAACCCCCTCAATGCTCCTGACTCAGAAAATGAGTGCAGTTTCAGCACCTCCTGGAAACTTCGATACAGCTCAGTTGCTCGGAAAGCAATGGAAGCAAGTTCAGTGCCTTGCCGACACCTTTTGGAAGAGATGGAAAGGAGAGTATCTGTCTACTCTGCAGAGCCGCAGGAAGTGGACGCAAGACAAGCCGAACGTCAAAGAAGGAGACGTCGTCCTTCTCAAAGGCAGTCAAGCCCATAGGAACGAATGGCCAATGGGATTGGTTGTTAAGACTTTTCCAAGCAGTGACAAGAGGGTCCGCAAAGTAGAAGTATGGATTGTGAAGGACGGGACAGCCAAGGTGTTCCTTAGGCCTGTAACAGAAATTGTTGTCCTTCTTGCAGAGTCTTAGAGAAAGAACTCTTAATATGTTGTTTTCAGTGGACATTCCCTTTCAAGTTCAATTGTATTTGTCGTGATATAATGTTATTATCTCAAGCGGGGAGTGTGCTGCCTATTTCTATGTTTATAGAGTTGGGACATGTTTTTTTGGCTCAGAGTGAGCGCTCCTTGGTTTGCGAGGATCTTTGTAAACGGAGCACGGAGATCAACACATGGAGATCAACACATGGAGCAGAGACGTCATGTAAACTGTGTCCGTGTCTGTGATGCTTGAGCCTTGGAGACTATTTGTCTGTGAGTTATTCATGTGCAGAATGTTTGAAGTGTGTAACTTTTGGTCTAAAGCTAGTTTAATGTGTGCTAATTTAGCTAATGGTGATCTGTGCTATTTCTAGCTAATAGTGATGCTAATGATAGCTAATTCCTTTAATAGTAGTATGTGTGTCGTTTGTACAGTGCTACTTATATGTTATGTAAAGTCTGCATACTTATATGTGTTTTATTTCTGTATTGTTACAGTTTTACAAAGTAAAAGAAGAACAGTAAAGTCAAGAAAGAAAACCTTGCATCTTTATTGGAGGACTTTTAAATGTTAGCTAACTGTCTAGCTACGCATAGGGATACGCGCTGTAAGGGCAGAACAATATGCGTGCATATATTCATATATATATGCGTGCATATATGCATATATATATACATATATATATGTGAATATATATGTGAATATATATATGCATATATATATATATATATATGCGTGCATATATGCATATATATATGCGTGCATATATGTGTGTGTCTATATATTATTTTCCATCATTCAATGGACAATTTGTACTTTTTTTATATATAGGCTACCATCAAACATATGTTCATATAAAGTGGGTAACTATACAAAACGAAGTGAGATAACTGTTTATGAATATCTGTTCAATTTTATGTAAACTTGTGTAACTCATGAAAGATAAATGAGTGTTTCAATAAAACTATTACATATAAATGTATAGTGCAGTTTTTGTTTTCATTGCAATATATTTTTTTTATATGTATCAATATATAGCCATACATGGTCCATGCATATATTGCAATATATTTAAAAATATAAGGACTACTTTCCCATATATGGAAATGTATGATCCAATATATTGTATTATATTTACCAATATATTACAATATATTTTTGTTTCATAAGGGAGTGAAGACTGTCATGCTTGCAGTAGCCTCCGGTAGCGAGACCCCTGTGAAGAGCCCGGTGAAGACTGTCATGCAGTCCCCAGTAACCTCCGGTAGTGGGACCCCTGTGAAGAGCCCGGTGAAGACTGTCATGCAGTCCCCAGTAACCTCCGGTAGCGAGACCCCTGTGAAGAGCCCGGTGAAGACTGTCATGCTTGCAGTAGCCTCCGGTGGGAAGCGACCGGTAAAGAACCCTGTGAAGAGCCCAGTGAAGACTGTCATGCTTGCAGTAGCCTCCGGTGGGAAGAGACCGGTAAAGACCCCTGTGAAGAGCCCGGTGGAAACTGTCATGTTTGCAGTAGCCTCCGGTAGCGAGACCCCTGTGAAGAGCCCGGTGGAAACTGTCATGTTTGCAGTAGCCTCCGGTAGCGAGACCCCTGTGAAGAGCCCGGTGAAGACTGTCATGCAGTCCCCAGTAGCCTCCGGTAGCGAGAACCCTGTATGCCGGAAGACCCGTGCGTCTAAGCTGGCTAAGGACTTGCCCTCTCCCTCAAATTACTGGTCCACTGGGTATGGACGGGGGAATACCATGCGTGAAATCACGTTGCCTAGAAGCATGGAGGCGTACCTTCAGACATACTGGGATCATTGTTTGGGTGTCGCTCCGACAGTAAAACAGAAAGACAATGTTCTGTCGAAGGTCAGCCGGATAAAGAACTTCATAGTATACATGGCCCATGGTGTTAACCGCCTGTCAGACTGGCTGTTCCTAAGAAACATGAAGATGATCCGTGGCTGGAGCAAGTATATTGTAAAGCCGGGCCGGGCAGTCACAACATCAGAGTTCTTCCTGAAGAATGTGAACCAGTTCATGGGGTACATGTCTGAGTCAAAGCCCCGGGGGTGCAGGCTCACCCAGTCTGATATGACCCACATAATGAGAGAGGTGAAAGCCAACATGAAACACTTGAATAAGGCAGTCACTCTACACCAGTTTAAGGTGAAGAGGAACAAACTGGATTGTCTGCCGAGCGAGGCGGAGCTTCTCGCCGCCATGGTGGCCGCTGAGAAGCGCATCCCGGAGCTCCTCGACCTGATGGCCGGCAAGCCGACCTCAACCACCCAGAAGCTTCTCTATGGCTATCTCACCCTCCATTGGAGCCTCCTGTATGGCCACCGTACGGTGAGGTCTTAGAGGCAGCCATAAGGGGAACTGCTGAGGGGCTACATCATCCATGTGCAGGATCACAAGACGGCCAAGACATATGGCGAAGCACAGCTGGCGCTTACAGTAGAGGAGTTTAGCTGGGTCATGCGGTGGATGGGGATTAAAGAGGCATTGCTGGGTCCTCAGAATGAATTCTTCCTTTTCACAAGGGGGAATCGGGCCTCCAAGAACCTGAACGCTCACTTGAAGAGGGCATGGGCTGATGCTGGGCTAGAAACAGCCGTCACCTTCACAATCCTGCGCACTGCCCTGGCTGACAATATCAAGCATCACCAAGATCCAGAAAGCCGGTCGATTCTCGCCAGGTTTATGTGTCACGACGTAACCACGGCGGACCGGTTCTACGCGAATGCGCCAGGAATAAAGGAGGCATTGAGAATCCGCTCCATGTTCAGGGCGTCATCAGATGCGGCAGCAGCTGCATCAGCATCAGAAGGATGTCTACCTGTCACGATCTGTCTGTGTTGTGTTTTGTCTTGTCTTTTTCTGTCTCTGGTTTCCTGTTTTGTTTTGAAATGTTTACCTCCTTGTGTCTTCTCTGTTCCTTCTTCCTGTGTTTGCCTTCCTGTCTTAGTTTCCCTGGTGTGTCTGATTGTTTGATTGTGTTCACCTGTTGCCCTTGTGTTTCTGCCTCCCTTACCCCAGCTGTGTCTTGTCTTGTGATTACCCCTCTCTGTATTTAGTCTTGTCTTCCCCTGTGTGCCTTGTCGGTTCATTGTTTCTCCTGTCTCCCACCATGTTGGTCACGGTCAGTTTTTGTAGTACCTATGTGTTTCATGCCATGTTTATGTTCAGCTTTGGAATATAGCTCGCTTTTGTTTCTAGACCTTTTTACCTTGTTTTGTAGTCTGCATTTGGGTCCTACCCTTTCCACGCATCCTAACACTACCGCTGTCAGATGGGGAGACCTCCGAAGAGGGCTCCGGGGCTGAGAGCAGCAGACAAGACCCCAACGATACCTCTTCTTCAGAGCACGAGCAACCTGATGGGTCATTGGAGCGGCAGCGGAAGGGAAAGAGGCCAATGAAGTCGGGACCGGGGCTGGTTGACACTCCTGATGATGGGGCACGGCCGTGGACTCAACCTGTTTGCCCTGGTGCACCGTACGAATTAGACTCCTAATATGGTCACCAGAACCCTGCTAAACATTGTGAATATGTATACCGTGTATATAATTATTATTATAATCCTGGGTATACATTTTGTAAATAGTGCAACACCTCCAGGGCGCATAACTGCAAGAGTCCCACTGTTAGGGACTGGTGCTGGAGGTCTCTAGTCCGTCCTTCGGGGCTCTGTGAGCGGGCAAAGAGAGGTGATTTTCCCGGACTCTCTCCTGGAGGTGTGAAATAAACAGAGTCCCACTGTTAAGGGGCCATGCTGGAAGTCATTAGTCCGTACTTTGGGGGTCTGTGAGCGGGCAAAGAGAGGTGATTTTCCCGGTCTCCGTCCTGGAGGTGTGAAATAAACAGAGTGCTACATTTTGTAAATAGCAGAATACCTCCATGGCGCATAACTGCACTTTACAAGCCAGGGAAGGTGCCTGAATCCTGGGTATACATTTTGTAAATAGTGCAATACCAGGGCGCATAACTGCACTTTACAAGCCAGGGAAGGTGCCTGAATCCTGGGGTAAACATTGTTTAAGTGTTTTTAAATGTATGGAACAGTGTTTTGTCTCTTTCAAAACTCTCCCGTCATTGGCCGGATACATGGGGACGATTTTATATTGACTATGACCGTTAATATTCCAGTGAGACGAAGTTTGTCCGGTGACGGGAGTGATCCCATGTTAATTTTGTCCAAAAACCAGAGCATTCCCTCATCTGTGTTAGAGTTTTACTTTCAGGAGTTTTGACTCTGCAGACCGTTTACATGCATAAAAACCTTCATAACACACAAGGGGACGGGTAATAAGCGGAAAAGAATGACATGGGACCTTTAATTTTTTTATTTTATCGCCAATTTGCATGAAATGTCTTTATAGTGTATTGTGGTTGTGGGTCGAAGGGGGCGCAGTCGCCCAGCAGGCAGCTGGGATGGAAGGTCTCACACTCAAAGAAGGGCGGGGGGGATCTCAGGTCGCCTCACTATGGGGTGAGAGAGAGGGGGGCGACGGGTACACTATCTCTATCAAATAATCACTTTCGATGTTTATATAGTAGTACTGCAATTATTATAATTTATCTCACGCCTCGAAATGCCACCAAATTCATTCATACAATATAAATAGTGTTGCAGATATATTTTTTTCCTGGCCTTGGTTGTATGAAACAATAAAGAATTATTTAAAAACTGACTATGGCAAATTGGTATAGTCTTGATTAATACCTACGGTGATGGAGAAAAAAAGGCACAAGGCATCAGGTGCCCAGTTTAGAAAGAAAAGGGAAGAAGAAGAAGAGAAACGCTCAAAAGATAAAGGTATGTAGGCACCTGTAACCAGGGCTCGAGCTTCAGGACGTCCCGTCGTCGAAGAAAATAGGGTCGGGTAGGATAAAAATAAATGTTGGGACGAGAGTTAAAATAAAAATACCCTGCTAACTCTACTACGAACGGCGATGAAAATTAAACTGACAGCACGTTTTGTATAGCACACAGTTAGTAAATCTCCTTGTCAACATAAACACACATGCACAGAGCATTTAGCAACCCGCGAAATACACACACACGTAGCTACAGCTGTAGATGTAAATTCCTGGCTTTCAAGGAATTTGCGGGTCTAGCTACATACTGTGTGTCTGTGAGTGTGTGTATTTCGCGGGTTGATTGATGTACAATGACAATGGCATCCCGTGGTGGAATTCTGCAATTTTTTACCATTACATCACGAAAACGCACAGCAGAACCAGACCCTGGAGCGCCGGCCTCTGACCTCACGACAGTCACAGCTGTAACGGGAAATTCAACCCAAGTCAATGAGGTAAGCTTGCTCGTATTAATGTTAACGTTACCAGTTACCCAGCTAGCGGGGAACGTTCTCACAACTTTGGCTAACGTTACCTACAGGTTCTAATAATGTTTTAAAGAAACGTTTTAATCTGATGTTCAAAGAACCTTTTTAGGATGTTTATTATTTCAAATAATGTTCCTATAAGGTTTAAGGTTAACTAAGACATAACGTTTTAACTGCAACATTCAGAGGATGTTTTGAGGATGTTATTAAGGCCTGAGATGACAGAACGTTTTTTTATAAAACGTTCCTTTAATGTGATATGTTAACAAAGGTGGAACGTT